TAACCTAACCTAACCTACCCTATTGATAAAGATATTTAAATAATGTTTTGTATAACTTTCTCAATATTTTTATGTATTTTTCATTAGTTTTACCTTTGAATATTGTTTAAGAATGACTATATAAATATTTACATGCCTAGAAATGTATAAAAATTGGCGTGTTTATTAACTTTGAACCCCCATAACTTTTTGTGGAGATGAGAACGTCACGAACTTTTTATGGTACAGTGGTGGGGTAAATAACTACTTAGGTGTATGACTCACGATTAAAAAAAGGTTTCTAGGTATGTTTTTATGCGTGTAGGTTCTCAAAATGTCGTCATTCGCTATATCAACTATGAGGGGAGTTTTTGGAGGAGTACCGTCATCTTTGTTGAAAGAGGTTCGATTTCATAGAAAGTTAAACACTAACAGAAAGCTGAGTTATATGAATATGATCAAACATCGCGTCAATTTTGAGAAAAAGATCGACCTAAATCGGGCAGTTTGCGAGGCCGAAAAGGTGGTCGGTTATCCGACATCTTTTCTCAATTTGCGCTGGCTTCTAAGCGATGAGGTGGCGAATATCGCGCTGCACTTGAGAAAACTTATGGGTTCCGGTCATCCTTTGATCCACACAGTTCGGTACGTATTTGGTCGGAACGAAATTACGATAAGTTTGTCGTAACGTGAAATTTATACGATATGCTGGGGGAAAATCGACTACAAATGGGAATAAGATCGAACCAGCCCTTTTTCTAACACCGGACACATGATGCTTCGAACCATAACAGACAATGTGTATTCAGTTTTCCGAATGAGATTGAAAATTTGAAGCTTAAATTTGAATTCGGAGTATTCAAAGTTTAAAATGTTTTGTTATTTATTCCGTACATTCCTAAGTAAATTAAGGAACAATTTAATTAAAAATGAAAAGTACGAATCAAGAACATTGATAAAAGAAAAACAAATTTTTCAAACTTCGCAAACATTTCGTATTTTTAAAGTTAGTGTTTCTGGCAGTTTTTTCTTGAATTTTCTTTTTTGGAAATTGATAAAATTTTTCTTTCCGCACTAAACAGACGTTACGAAGAAAATTTAATCGAAAAAGTCATGTTTTTTATCTTCAATAATAATAAAAATATTTTAATTTTTAATTGCAATGAATTATGTACTAGGATAAAGAAAGAGGGCACCGAACTGCTTAAATATTTCGTCCCTAATAAGTGTAAATTTTGTCTCATTTGTTCGTGGGATTTTTAGCCTATCCTGGTGTTTTCTATAAGGAGTCTAAAAATATTTCTTTATGAGATTGTCTAGAAATTACGAGGGTTATGGTCGTGTTACATGGGGGATGGGAGGAAGTCAATGTTTGCGTTACGTATGGTACTGTTATGAGGGGGTGGGAGGGAGTTAATGTTTGTGTTATACAACAATTTTAGAATTAGTTTGAATTAGTTATTATTGGAAATTAAGAAACTATTTTTTTAGTTGATATCTGGAAATTACATGCACTCGTTACGTGTTGAGGGGGTTAGGGGTCAAACCACATGTTACGTTCCCGTTACGTGGGGGATGTGGGGGTCAAAAGTTATTGAATTTTGCATTACGTAATATGTGGACAGTCTCTATGTAAAAGGATTGATTTTAATCAAAGTTTTGAACAAGTGTAATTTGATGAATATTAAAAATAACATTTTTTTGATATTTACTATGCGGTAATATTTGTAGGGATTTTCTTACTGGCAACAATTCACCCGCGTGGGGTCTTGTCGTTTTGCTCGTTTCAAAAGTTGCTGGTTTAAATGGAGAGTTCAAAAGCGTGGATAAAGATCTTTCGGTCGGAGTTCTGCATAGTCAGAGAGCTTTGGCCGAAGTAACCGAAATGATAAGAACGAGTAACATCATACATAAAAGCTTAGTTAACGTGAGGAATGGTAACGATGTGTCTAAAGGCGACGCGGTTGATCTTTATTTTGGAAATAAAATATCTCTACTCAGCGGAGATTATCTTTTAAGTACCAGTTATCACACTCTTGCGTGTTTGAAGAACCAAAGTTTAAACGAATTGATGTGCGCCGCCCTAAGAGATTTAGTCGAAGTCGAATTTGTAGGACCGAGAGACGATCAAAATGTTGCCTTGCCCATTAAACCCAATCCAGAACAGAAAGATATCGAGGTACTGTGTACTTACTAGCAAATCAAACTGACTATTATCGAGTTTTCGGATATTTGTTGAATACTTCCAATTTTTGAAGTGAAACTTCTTTACGCACGGTAGGGTTCGTTTCATGCGAGTTGCTATGTAACGAAATCATGCAACGGATGTCCCCCTCTACTCGGCCACGTAGTCGAGTTCGTAGTGGGGATCGCTTGAGCCGTGAGCGCGCTTCAATGCAACGTTCGTTACAGGCAACTCCGGCATGTATAGTGTAAAATTTAAATTCATAGTCTACAAATAATACCATTAAACCAATTCCTTAACCTCTATCCCGGTATGTTTGTGAGTTTGATGAAGTTTCACTTCAGTAGCGTGTTGTATCATTACACGTATTTGTTTTTTTAAATTATAGTCAGATTTTCGTAAACTATTTTAGATTTATCTACAAAGGAGCAATATTGTGGCTGACTGACTTATTGGTTGATAGTCAACCCCAGCCGATACTATTGGGTCGTATTATTTTGATTATTATTGCCAATAACTTTAACAAAATATTTATCCTTATTGGAATCGCTTCTGTGTGTTAAAAACAATTTTGAAAATGCGAAAATCTAATTAAAATATACAACACTCGAAATTTGATTTTTTGTGATTATTATTAACTTAAATATTCACAACTTAAATGTGCAACTCCTTTGGATAAGTGCTCTTCTGTCCAAGACAATCATTAAAATCTAAAACAGTAATTTCAAGTGTGTTTTACACAATTGCTATATTGAGGTAAACGGATTGGATTATTTAGTTTGGATTATTCAAAAAAATTGGAATTATTCGAAAAATATTTGATATATTAATTGATAATTCAAAACTCGAATTGAGTATTATTATTTTTATAGTAAATTTGTGCAGTGTATTTACACACTGTCTATTTCAGGTTTACGAACATTACGATTCAGAGCCTTACGATATCGAGGATATTTTAGGGAATGTAAAAGCCGAGTGGACTCTTAGGAATGTTTTAGGTGGAGCTAGTTTATTAGGAAAATCCTGTCAGGGAACGCTAATGCTTGCTGGTCATCCTGTTGAAGTACAGGAGAGAGGCTACAGGATAGGGAAGAATGTGGCTTTAGCCTGGCAGGCCAGGAACGAAATAAAGATTTTTTCGAAGGGTTATAAGGGCCCGTTTAAGCTGGTTTGTGCTCCACTCATGTTTCAACTCGAGTGTGAACCGGAACTGTACAAGGAAATAGAAAAGGGAACCAGTTCAGTCGATAACGTGGACTACGATCTGTTACGCGAGAGGGTTTGCAACGGTAATGGTCTGGAAAAAACCAGCGAATTGTTTACGAAACATTCTTCACGTGCCCTCGACGAACTCCGAGAATTTCCATCAACAGAAGCCAGAGCGGCTTTGATAAACATCATAACTGCAACGCATTGATTCGCGTAGATGCTATTAATTAATGTTTAGGTTTAACAAATGTACGTATGTATTTAGTTATCAAAAATAGTACTTTTTCTTTAATTGCTGTGATAAATAAATAAACACAAATAGTAGAAAATGTTTTATTAACATATTACTTACTTATTGGGGCACTGGCACACTAACCCTCTTCGCTGCAATCCTGTTAGAGGTATTTCAAAATATCATGGGCCTCAAGGAGCGTATCTTGTTGCAATTATATTGCACATTTCAAAAGCAGGTACTTATCGACTGTTAAGCATGTGCCTTCCTGTATAACCATCAGGAATGGAGTTCCAGATGTGTACAATAAGACTGAATTCTAAATTACCTCCACTGAGAAGTACACAGGGGTGCAATTTACAGATATGTCATATAATTTGAATATATATGATAGAATAAAATATATAAGCAAAAACGATTTTGATACTTTGTGCCTATTTAAGTGGAATCGCCCTTGAAAAATAACCTACCAATAAAAAAAACCATTAAAATCGGTTCATAATTGGCGAAGAAATCGCGTAACATATACACAAAAATACAGTCGAATTGATAACCTCCTTTCTCTAAAGTCGATTTTTACTTTTTTACTGCGAATAATACTTTGAAAACTGTACGAAATCGAATAGGGTTAAATGGTGAATTTATTATCGACTAATTGAAATATCATTAATCAAAGCACTATTCAGTATAGCGTTATTTATAAACCATTTGTTTCCCTGCGGTCAATAAGGACTAAAGAGGAGGGCGCCAATGCAACGGAAATGATTACACTATACAAACGTAAGAGCCTATTGTATCACCGAAAAAGAACAATGGTAAGATAATGAACCAAATACTTAAGCAGCTAATATATCTAGTAGCTTGTACAATAAAACTAATTATAATCTTTCTTCTTTGAATCTTTAAAGCCAGTAACAAGTAGCACGAAAATTCAAAGTTGTACTAATTTCTATATACCTACTCACAATTGCGGTTTGTCTAGTGTTTTCCAACATTTTATTATAAAATAAAGGAAATGAAGTTCATCTCATTTGAAATTTTATATGTTATATAATTGCTTCAACGTGCCAAAAGTTGACGTTAATTTATTAGCATAAGTGCCCTAGACAAAAATATTCAGTCTCTCTCCAGTCTCTCAGAGTTTTTCAGCGTCTCTGAGAGCGTCCCTCACAGTCTCTCAGTTATTGCCTAGGTGTTTCTATGGATCTCCCACAGTCTCTGTATGAGAGACTCGAACGATAAAATTGTTAATTCAGAGATTCGAGTCTCTCACAGAGAGACTGAATGAATAAAACTGAAAAATTGAGAGTCGAGTAACTCGTAGAAAGACTGGGATCTCTGAAATATGTTGAACTTGGAAAATTTTAACCACGTCTATCGAGACATCACTTATTGAGAGATTCGAGTCTCTCATTTAGAGATGCTAAACAGTTTTTTTAACAGTCTCTCGACAGTCTCTCTCAGCGACACCAGAGAGACTCGATGAGAGACTGAGACTCGAGTCTCGCGTTCAGAGACCCTGAGAGACTGAATATTTTTATCTCGGGCGATCATGCTTGAAATACATTTGATTTGAAAGCAAATACACCGAATTTCGATCACACGCGTCAACTACTTTAAGACAAAATGAGTAGATGCAATTAACTTTAAATTATTGATCGTAAGCGTGTAATAAAATAATAATATAGCAATAACAAATTCTAAATTTTTTATTACGAAAAATTTACCCAATACTTAAAAAATGTCTTCACATATGTCATGAGTTTGGAAGGGGTAATAAATGAGGAATAACAAACAAAAAGTCGAAGATCTCTGCGTAAGTATATGGCAAGTAAGGAAGATTTATTGTATTTAAAGTTAAGAGAAAGATATTGATTACATTGCGGATTAGATAGGTATAACTTCGTCCTTTCGACTGATATCCGGGAGAAGATTCTGTTTCCGGATTTTTATTTGGGACCAGAAGGTGCCGATGGATTCGCAGAAAGGAACCGTAATTGCCTCCATACACGGCGTTACGAAGGATCTCGTGGCTGTACATGTTATCTTCCAAACTCGGAGGCAGGGAGCGGTGCACCAGATGTGCTGCAAGCCAGTTACGAACTTTGTTATTTATTAGAAATGGAATTTTTAAGTTTAGAGCTAGTTACGGGTAACTTGCAGCGATTTATTTAGATTTAGGGAAGTATCCTCTTCCTGACGACTAACGCTAACACTTTTTTTTTTGTTTTTCTTCTCGAGAAAATTAATGGACGTTCGAGTTAAGTATCTTAAAGTTTCATAACGATGATTAACAGTTGTTACATATTATACATCTGATGTCACTTCTTTATTCTTTTACACAATTTTAATGCGTACCTATTTACTAATTACGTTAAATATAATCATAAAATGCCTTTTGTGAATCGTAAAAAATACTATGCTTAAAATGAAGTGTTGCACCTAGGGATTGTTATTTGAAATTCAATAATAAAAAGAACGTAGAAAGTTCAAAAACATTTTATACTGCCACTAATCTATATTTATTATATTTATAACGAGCACGACACTTTCTATTAGGTTTAATTAATATTTTTAATCAAAATGATTGCATATAACTTTAAAGCAGCATTAATTGGGCATTAATATTGATTTTAATGCATAAAGAGATCGTTTGTCTTGTATAAAACTTCTTAGATGTATACGGGTTCATTGATTGAGACAAACGAATCGATTTTATAATCAAAGGACAAATGAACTTATAAGAAGTTTTAATCAATAAAAAGTTGACTATATCATCAATGCGAAGAGCAAAACATTGTACAAATAGGCTAAAAAAGACAATTTGACTATCAACAAGAAGTGGTAACTTTATTGGAAAGATTTTATATTAAGATACGTACCTAGTGTTGATTTTCCTACAGGTATAAGCAGTTGTAACAGCTTATCACATTGAGTCATATGTGATACGGCTTACGTACGATTTGTAGATTTGTTTAAAAGAGAGAAATTGAGAAAATGGAAAGTAAATAACTAGTTGTTTCAAAAATAAACTGCAAAATCAGACTTCATTAAAATTTTCCTTTCGCATTTCGTTGGCTTTCCAAGAAGTCTCTAAATAACATTTAGCGCTCTAGGCTCATTTTACTCATTTTTGTGTACAATCCTCGTACTGGAAATTTATACATTTTCGAAATTATTTCGTGTAGGTGGTGAGTTTTTTGTCAAATACGTTGTATGAAACTGTTTAAACAGTATAAAGACGGTGGGTTATAATCGCTTACAAGATGACAATAGCATTCACCTTAAAAGCCAAACAGGCAAATGTAAATCCGAAACAGAAGGCTGTCAATGGGGCAAAAATCGCCGTTAAAAGGATGTAGCTGCATCCCTTTGATATGCGGAAGCATTGGTTACTTATTTTCCAAATAAATTCCGGACTGTGGACACCCTCCGGTTCTCCAATTACGTCTTCCCACGAGACCTGTCGGAAAATATTACAGAAAGGTGCATGGATTGCAATTGATCGTATAACTGGATATATGCACGATAAGGACAAAAAAAAATCCATTGGAAAATGAAAATAATAATTACTCCCTTATTATAATAAAGTGGGTAATTCCACAAAATGCAATAAGTATATCTTTTGATAATTTTGAATTCTTTTCAAGGGCAACTTTAGGGATAGATATACAAGGGTAAAAGATTAGTATAGGTACTTAGATTTGCAGATGATATAGCAGTATTAGCATCTAGCAAGGAGGAGCTAGGGATAGCCTTAAATGAAAGGGAAGAAAAAGTAGCGAAAAAGCGAATATAGACACAGCAGACGAAAAAAAGGCAGATAAATCAGGAGAGAAGAAGCAGTAGAGATATAAAACAGAGGATATGACAGGGTGGAGTCGCCTTTAACAAAAAGAAGTCACTTCTATGTTCGCGAACGGTTAATTTAGAAATTCAAAAAAGATTGTTAAAGGTGTGTGTCAGAAGCAAGGCTTTGTACGGGTGCGAAACATGGACGGTTAGTGTGACGGAAAAGAGAAGTTAGAAGCGATCGAAATGTGGTGTTACAGGCGAATGATGAGGATACCGTGGATAGAGAAAGTTAGAAATGAAGAGGTATTAGAATGGAGAACAGAGGACTTTAAGGAAGGACTCTAAGGAAGGTAATAAAATATAGGCGAGATAGGTTGGTAGGACACCTTCTTAGGCATGAAGGTCTAGTCAGAGACATATTAGAGGCAGAAACAGGAGTTAGGAGGAGTGGAAGTAGACCTAGATGAGATTACTGTTCATAAACAGGATGTGGGATGTTCTAGTTACAGGGAAAGTTACGAAAATTATCTCAGAATAGGAAAAAGTAAATGTGTGTGTCCAACCCAGTCCTAGGACTCTATTCAGTACCAAGATTACTTTAATTTAATATTAAAGAAAAATAGTTATATATTTGACTGTTTTAAACTTTTTCGGAATAAAAAAAAGGATCTTGTAAATTTTTAAGGATTGTTTACATTCAGTTGCGGATTTCTGTGTACGTGTTTGCGATGAGGTACATGTTTTAGCACGTTTGTGCTGCGATGTAACTGGCGTCTGAGGCATGAAACCAAATGAAGACGTATGAATATTGCTTTTTTTTGTCGGGGGAAAAGCCATGCGAGCTGGAAAGCCTTTAAGCTAAAGCGTCAGCTTAAATAACTTCGTAAAACAAGATTTTCACATTAATATTTACGGGGTAGACTTTATAGGCAATAAAATTTGAAACTGTTACAGTTGTATCTCGACGTTAAAAAATAAAATAGCGGTGAAACGGTATCAACATTGTGCACACATTTTTTAAAATATTATCTGGCTTGATCGCACTGAGGTAAATATGTGGAGAAAGATAAATGAACTGTGCAGAAATTATTCCATTAAATGTCATAAAATAATGTACTTTTTTAGTCACTTTGATATATACATTGTATCTCTAGACAAAAGTTTTCAGTCTCTCTCCAGTTTCCCAGAGTCTTTCAGCGTCTCTGAGAGCGTCTCTCACAGTCTTTCACAGTCTCTCAGTTATTGCCTAGGTGTTTTTATGGATCTTTCACAGTCTCTGTATGAGAGACTCGAACAATGAAATTGTTANCTTCTTCTTAATAATGTTTCGTCGACTTGTATGAGTTTTCTTTTTAGGATAAAGTCGTATATGTAGAAAATTTCTAAACTTTTTATTGTCTTTGCTTTTTAGCCGGTACTATATGCCCAGCATATCAAATAAGTCCAGAGAAATTCCACCAATTCGTTCTAAAACACCAAATACAAAACGCAACCGCTTTACGAAATTTTGTGCTTTCTTTAGCTGGAACAACTTACAATACCTTTAACAAAGTTTTACCATCATATGGTTTAATACCTAGTGAAAAATACATGGAAATCCTAATCGAATTGATGTTTGATTTTGAATTAGTTGCCTCCAAGTCGGGCTCGTCAACGCAAGAATTTAAGCTACAGCGGACTGTAACAGAAGTCGGAATTTGTTACACTTTTAATTCTCAGATAGCTGTTTATAATTCACCATGGTGAGGAGGTCTATACATCTATATTGTTAAAAGAGATGTTAAATCGGTTTGGGAAGCCTCAAAAAGGTGGAAATGGTCTAGTTGTACTTCCTGATAGGAATCTATGCTATAATCTAGATTTCTAGATGAGTATTGATGCAGAAGATATTACCCCTCCATTTTGAATAAACGTAGAAATTAAAAAAAAAAATACAACGTGTAATTATACAACACGCTACTGAAGTGAAATTTCTTCAAACACACAAACATAGGATAGGGGTTAAGGAATTGGTTTAATGGTATTATTTGTACACTATGTTTCGCACGGGTGCAATGCTGATAGTAAATATACTATAGAATGTCTTTATATACAACAATCACAGCTTTTTTGTCATTAGACAATACAAACCGGCCGGTACCGCCGCAACCGCTATGTCCCTGCAGTTTAAGTCTGTAATATCTTCGAAAATATTCATTTGAATTACATGCTGTAAAGGACCATATTGATCTATAATAAATGCACAATGTATTTAAAAGTACTTAATTGGATAAGGATTAATGCTGTATTGCTTAAAATAGCTTCGTAAATAAGCCATTATTTCTCGTAAAAAGTAGAGGATAAAAAATGGTTATTGTGGGTTATCCCTAAGAGATAGACATATACTATCGCGGACTTTTTTGTAGACCCTTTTAAGATGTACAATACTGTGGTACATTATTTTGATCTATCTCGTAGGGTTTAGCCAGCGTTTGCAATGTAAGCGCAAAAAATGTGTTTATTTACAAACCTCTAAAATTATCAGTGTTTCTCAACTATATTATGCATGTATTATACATATAAACCTTCCTCTTGAATTACTCTATCTATTAAAAAAAACGCATTAAAATCCGTTGCGTAGTTTTAAAGATCTAAGCATACATAGGGACAGACAGCGGGAAGCGACTTTGTTTTATACTATGTAATGATAATGATTACATTTTGACTATTTTCGTTAATAGATAGAATAATTTTGTCGATTAAAGTGTGCTGTTTTAATTTAATGTGTCATTAGAGTTTAGAACAGGCATAATTGTGATACTTACCTCGAGGTGTCGATTAAGATCATTGGGATCTCTGTCTTCATTTTGGGCCATTTCCTGGATTCTTTTGTTCGTTTTGGCGTGTATCATTTTAAATATGTAAAGCGGGATACATATAGACGTATTAAGTACTAGGTATATAAACACAAAAACAGTTTTTCCTGTTCTCTTCTATTTATTCGCATGGGTTGATTAGAGGCAGTTATTCTTCGCGGATTAATAAAAAGGATCTGCTTTTGCGAACCTCTGGTCAGTGAACTTCACAGTAGCGTCTGATTTGTATTCGCGACGCCGGCGTGTTGTTGTTGCTGGTGTTTGTTGGTCACCCTTGCATTAAAGAAAATTGCCTGGTATAAAGGTGAGTTACGTAAGTGTTACCGTATATCGATCGTTTCGCATTTTTCCTGCTTGTTTCGCAAGCGGGTGGGTGAGAGATGGCGTTAATTAGGTCAGAAGTAAAGGGCACGTTGGGTTATGGTCGTCGTAGTCGTCATTGGCGTTCACGAGCTAAAACAACTCGGGTCTGATGGGGTAGAAAACGCTCATTTGTTGCCTTTATCACTCTTTCGAACGAAAATCGATCTGTTCTACATATAAACGTGCATACACACATACACACACACAAGCGTGAGCCACGGGGGAATACCTTGCGACTCGGCCGCTTTTGATTTGTTTTGTTTCTTTTTATTCTTCAACAAGTGAACCTCTTGGGCCTTGTACGCTTGTTCTTAATTGGGTTTCGAGCCTAATGACGAATAATCTTAGAATTGTTTTATTGTTTTTCACCAACAAACTCCCTGGTATGCATGCAAAATGTACGATTTGAACAATGTAATGTTTGGAGAGTAAAACTACTTGACTATACTCTCGTCCAAATTAGGTATAGTAATGTGATTTTAGAAATTGCGAACTTAGAAGATTATTTCAATTGTTCAATAATCTATTGTTTTACCTAACGGTACGAGCTAATTGGTGGATTAAGCTACGGGGGCACGCATCCACTTCTATTTTTTAAAAAGGAGAAAACAATATTTTCTGTTAATTTTATAATACAGTAGCTTTTCTGGCTTAATAAGTATAATAATATGGACATGGGGTGTATATCGCCTACTTAGGCATATTACATAAAAGCCATATTTTATTGTTTGTCATTTTTCTGTGTAAATTTTTCATAATTATGATGATTAACAAGTAAAGTAACAGGTTTAATAAGCATATGAAAGAGTTTTTCCAATGTGAAATAAAAAAATCGAAAATATTCATGTTTTTTAGTACTTAAGGAATTATATATTATATTATTAAAATGGATGTGATTTTGTATAGACCACTTAGTCAGAATCGAGTTTGATACGTTTAAAATCGAAAAAAATTTTCCAATATTGTCTAGCTTTGACGCCCCTTTGCAGAAAAAGTAAACTTATTACTTAAATGCACTTACTAGATGTTATCAGTGAATAACCCTTAAACATAAAGTATACTTAGAAATGGCATCTTCAATCGAAACCTGTCGGAATTTTTTCAAACTTTGGAACGTAAACAGTAGGAAGTAACTCGAGGTGAGTAAAAGAACCACATTGTCGCTACACAAGCTTTAAAAAAAGTTTTATCTGTTTTAATCAGAAGAATTATTCACTTTTCATGAAGTAATTTCGTTTGAAATAAACCATCAAAAGCTATGCTAATATGTAAGACTGCAATCTTAACAGTTAAACATTCCTCATTCTTATTAAAAACAGATTTAATCCTATTTATGACCAGTGTTAGACATCATAATGCAAAATGGAAAGTACTTTTAATATAATCGTGACCGCTCCAGGAGAACAAAATATTTCCTAAATGCGCCCCTGATAACGACGTGATATAATAACGCTTGTTCGTACTATTCTTTCATTTTCAATTTTGTTTTTGTTACATATTTGTTGTCTTTTATATTAACGTATCAATAAATGGTGGAATATTCGGGTATGTGATAGTTGGAGACTGGAAAGTGGAAGAATTTCTTGATTAATTGAACAACTTGCTGGTGTTTACCACAACTCGATGAGCTAACATTTGTGGAAACTAATTAAGGGATAAACGTTTAAATTCACGAATGCATAATTTAAATAAATATTCCAAAGTACGCAGACCGTTTCTAGTACAAACATAACATCAAGTTCAACTGACCGAGTGTATAGTGGAGCATACGTACCTACATACATTACAAATCAGCTTGAAACTTTCAGCGTAGCAGAAAGCGCGGCCTTTGGAAATGTATTCAAACCTAGTATTTTATTTGCGTCCGTTGTCGTCGCCTAAATTAAAAGTTTATTGCCGTAATTACCTTAGGTACTCATTAATAATGGCTTTTTATCCTTTTATGCTTTAAGGACGTCGACGCTTCCGGTAATTTGTCACTTTGAAGAAGTGCACTAAAACGAGTAATAAAGGCGCTTCAAAAAACTTTATGTATTGGGTTTAAGTTCTACAGAAATCTGAAAAGTATTGGTAAACTTTTTTGAGGTTTAAAACTGAATAAAATTTACTCAGCTGTAAACCTCGAAATTATCTTAAATACCATTAAAATAATAGGGCTTCTAACCATCTATCTTACCATTAATTTTTGCATTAATGACACACATTATTATCATCATAGGGTTAAACTATTCTTTTCGAATTTCTGATTTTTTTTTGTTAAGAGTAACTCGATCCTGCGTTATCCTGTTTTTAAATCTTCACCGCTTTTTCTATTTTTATTTTTCAGAATTCCTGGGTGCCGAAAAACGGAGATATTCTCTGTTTTCTTTATCTCTACTGCTATAATACAATAGTATAATTTTGTATTAGTACAGCATGTTCAAATTTATACTAAGGAATTTTCGCTAAAACAGTGTGGTCGGTTAATAAGGAAAACCTAATTTTAGTGGTACTGAAAAATACTTCAATCTTCGCATTTCCCTAAAACTAGAACAGCCCACATCCTTAACTATTTGCGAACAGTAATCTATTCTAGGTCTACCTCTACCCCTCCTAACTCCTGTTTCTGCCTCTAATATGTC